ATTAAAGTTATGGGCCTGGTTCTGACCCAACACAATGGCTTTACAGTGAAGTAAGGCAGAACTAAGTAAAATGCTTACAAAGACACTGTATTAAAGATTTATGTGAATTAAAAAGTTAATCTATTTTTAATTTACAAAGAAGAAAAAATTAAAAGAGCAATGCTATCAGATGTTGATTAGTTTCTGCACAGCTGATTTCAGCAAGAATGGGCTAATTCAGCACATTAACACAGAACCACAGATACAGAATTCATTCTCAGAGGAGTGGCACTTAAATAACAAGTCTATTTTTGTTAAGCATTTTTTTGTCTGTTTCCTTACAGTATGTTTTTATTAATTAAAAACACTGCAGCTTTAAAAACATACTTGCTCTTTCCTTACAAAAATAGATATTTGGGATAAAACTGCAACTTTATGTATTTAGTCTCCTTATCACCAGTATAATTCATATTTTTAAAATCAAATTCACCTAAAGAAAAAATCAAGAAGCAGTTCTATTAATCCTAAAGCTACTCGTAGTATCAGGCTGTGCTTGCAAGCATGTATTCCTTGAGAGTAAAGTGTCATTTATTCTCTAGAGCTACATTACTACACATGAGACAAACCTGCTGCTAGTCTGGTCAAGCTGTATTTTCTGCTGGAGAGAACGCTGCTACTGTTTAAATTAAGAGGGATCAAAAATATTCTTCCCTTTCCAACCTGTTTGCAACTGGTCCCTCAAAAACTATAAAAAAAACCCACTACAAACAAAAACAAAACTGCCCTTACTGCAACCATGCTTACTCCCCATGACAAGGGAATTCACTTAAACAGCATGTCAATTAATTTGTAATTCAGACTGGCAGCTCTACACAAATGGAAAGATACTGCTTTTGATTACACAGTGCAAGAGTGCTAATTCAACAGACAAACTAAACATTTCCCCATGAAAAGACAAAGTCACTTATGTTTAACTAAGCAGCAGTGAAGAAAAAAGCTAAAAACTTGCCCATAAATGATAACTCCTGAGAATATATCACCAACCTAAAGAAAACCCTGAGAAATAATGTTAGTTTAGATGCTTGACAGAAATACATTTAACACAAACCACCCCTGGCTCAGATAAATATAGCGGTCATTCCCTGTGCCCCTTCAGTGCAATTTACAGCATCCAGTGCTGATAAAAAAGGTCACAACAGCTTCACTTCTTGCTTTAACTGAAAATGCACTTTACAATCAAAGTTGCAGTAACCCCACCATATATCATAGCAAAGCAATGACACATCCAACCCTGGATTAATTAATTAAGCAATTCCACAGCTTAATTATTCCACAGTTTAATTATTATCTTCACCTAAGAAAAGAAAGAAAAGCCTGACCAAATAAATCTACAGGGGTTTCTTTTTGTTTATTTCGTTCGTTTTTTGCTAAAGAGACTGGTATTGTGCAGCCTCTAACCCAAGTGCTGCAGAGAATCCAGACTGCAAACCTTGGGTATCTTCAAGGATGAGTATTTTTCAGGAAAAAATACACGGTGAAAGCACAACTTTACTGCTCTGCACTTCTAACGCAATGTTTGCTTATTTTTAACTAACTTCCAAACACCGCAACTCCCACTACACACTGTTTCATTTGTCATTCACTATTTATTTCAAAGCTGGAAGCTAAAGGTATCCCCATGAGTAGGTAATTCCCATCTAAGTGTGCACAGTGATGGTAGACACAGACACAGGTAACCCAAGCACGGCCTACTGCACAGTCAGTTCTGCCTTCATCACCCTCTGCTTTTCCCCTTCTCCTCTATGGAGCAGCTTTTTCATACAGCTCTCACAAAAAGGGTACAAAACTCCCAAGAGATCTGGAGGAGGTTTTTCCACAACACAAGCTTATGTAGCAGTTTTAGGTACTGTGGTGACAAGGGGTGACAGAAGTAGCACAGTAAAGAGACAAGAGGCAGAAAACAGGGCAGAGAGACAGAGGCAGGCACAGAGAGCTGTGTTTATGGCCTCTCCTTCCCCAAGCATGCCAAATCTGTCAGTACTTCTAATAAGTACATCAGGATGGTTGAATGACTAAATTTTCTTGTTTGGGCATCCCAGGTGACCCAGAAGGAAAGGCCTATCGATGACTGTCACTCAGAGCACTCAGGCTGAGCCCAAATTAACAGAAATGGCAGCAGTACAAGCTGTGTCCCAAAAAGCAGTACATGCTGGCTGTAACTCCTTGCAGAGTTACACCAGCCAGCAGTTACTGCCTGAATCATCTGTGACCAGCACTTGGGGATGCTGGGGTGGAGGAGAGCCCAGTGGCTCAGGGCTCCACAGCCAGCTGAGCCACCACACCTCCCAGCCCAGCTGCTCTGGGAAGCCACTCACACTGCTGGAGCCCCCCAGGCCACCCGTCCTGCTTTGGGAGGGCACACAGACAGCCACAAACCATGGGGCCCACTTCAATCCCCCCTGACAGCCACCATCACAACCTGGGCCCCAAGGCCTCAGCGCGGCCCGGCCGAGCCACCACAGCCGTGCTGGGGAACAGAATCACAGGCTGCAAAGGCATTTTCCTGCAAACAGCTGATTGATAAAACATCCTAGGTGAGAACATCATTTACATCTGCTGCCAAGAGAGTGTCTGCCTCTCACACAATCACAAATGTCGTTCCCACTGACTTTCTGCGTGCCACAATAAGCAATCTGCAAGCAGCAAGTGTGGTGCAATGAAAGTATTTCAACGCTGATGTTTTAACACAGAAACTTTTGCATCTCCAGCACACAGGAACCAGTGTTTCAGAGCTCAACAGTGCTCTTCTCTGTGACTGCCTGAAACATAACCCTGCGGCCAAGGAAGGAGCAGAGGGATTTCTGCAAACACGCTTTGCCACAGGGCCGCACTGATTGCTCCCTGTAAGCGGTGCTGTGCAACAGGCAGCTCTCCCAAAATCACTTTTCCAAACCTTTCTGAGGAAGGTCTGATTAAGAAATAGAGATGTAGCTTGGCAGCTGGTTCCAGACAGTCTTGTTAGAGCTTTTGTTGCAAGTAAGCAACACTAATGGACTGCAGTAAAAAGTGACATGTAAATTGCGCCTTCACCGGCTGTTTTACACTGAATTGTACAAAGTATCAATAGACTAGAAATTGAAAGACAGATTTTTAGAAATAGAGGCACCATAAGGTGTGTTTACTGTATTACTTCTTCAAGTAATTCAGCACAGACTTAGGGAAAACATTTAAGGGTTAAAACTGGAATAAAAACGAGTAACACAACAGGCAGTGTCTGAGGTCAAGAAACTGCTCTCAGAGTGGTTTCAGTTCAGCAGAGATTGCTACAACTCAGGCTGCTCGTGTCTAAATTAAAAAGAATTAAGATCTTCCTGCATGAACACCTTATATAAACCCACCAGTACTTTCTTGCACTGTAACTTGTGTAGAATCATTTTTATTATTGATACAGACAAAGCAGTCTATTTTTGGGCTGCTGAATCATACATTGCTGTCTGGAATAGGGACTCTGCTTTGCACACATTTGAAAAGCAGAAGGATTAAAGAAGAATCCTTACCATGCCAGCTATTAGTTTACACCAGCCTGAGAACCCATATTTCAAGTGCAGTTAAAACATTATTTGAACAGATATGTTTGGGGGGATAACTGTTTGCCATAACTAATTTCCAAAGAAGTTCAACTTACAATCTCACTGCCCTGAAAACAGGGATAGGAGCTCAACTTTTTGCTCAAACCTGTCCCCAGGGGTGCATTCCAAGGGGCAGCAAAGGCTGAAGGGCAATGCTCACACCCCCCAACACACAGCAACCACACCATAGCCTTCAGAGAAATACTCTGAATGACCAAAAGTAGCCAAGTATTACCAAAACTGGAAGTTAGAACTTCTTTGAGTGGTCTGGTATTCTTCAACAGCTTTTTTTTTTTTTTTTAATTATTTTAACTTTTTATACTACTTATGAACTAAAGCAGCAGTTTTAATATCAAAGTTAGAACCAGCCAACAAAACTTGCTGCTCAAATAAAAAAGCCTCCTTGTTCACCCCAGTAGAAATTAAGGTAGATATTAAAAATAACTTGATAACTCTTGAGAAAACAAGCCAAGAAATGAAACTATTTTGGATTTCATGTGATAATAACGTAGTGGGATGAAATACCTTTGTATGCCTAGAATAGAAATCAGAAGTACAGACTCCAAACAGTATTAGAGCAAAAAAAGGTTTTGGCATATTGTTGGACATACATGTGTTTGGACCCCTCCATCTGAGGGAATTTCCTGTATATATTATTTTACATGCTGAAGATAAAATTTCTTTCTACATCCTGGCTCCTTGAAGCAAACACCACTACACGAGTGAAAGGCAGGGAATGCTCTGCAGGAGGGGAAGGGGCACTGGAGTCTCTGGATGACTTTTGCACGAAGTAGGAAACCTCATCAGCGTTTGCTCAAGTTCAGAGAAGCAGTGACTGATGCTATTGCTTTTCTGAGCACTGGAAAAATATGTTCATCAACACCTTGTCTCGTGGAGACGGGAGAAAAAGGGCGGGGGAGCTGGCAATGAGAAAGTTTAGGAGTCTTTAGGATTCCCCTTAAGGAATCCTCTTTCTTTTTTTTTCCCTTAAGTGGAATTAGGGATCTCTCAACTCCTGGGCGGGTTAAGACACTTTCAGCCGAGCGGTTCGTCTCGACAACAACCCGGGGAGCGCTGCCCCGGCGGCGCCGAGCCGCTCCGCGTTACCGTGCGGGGCAGGGACGGGCCGGTGGGGAATAAATAAATAAATAAATACAAAAATAACCCGGCCAAGCGGCGGGTCCCAGCGTTCCCTTCCTGGCGGATGTTGCCGAGCCGCCAGGCACAAAGGGACCGATGCCGCACGGCCAGCAGCGCATCCCCGCCGCCCGCACACACCTCCCGCGGGCACGGCCACCGCATCCCAGCCCCCGCACTGCATCCCAGCACTCGCACCGCATCCCAACCCAACCCAGCCCCCGCTCCGCATCCCGGCCCCCGCACCGCGCTCACCTGCGGGCCCGGGGCTCCGCTCCGCCGCCGCGGGCAGCGCCAGGGCCAGCAGCGCCGGCAGCAGCAGCCGCGGCCACCGAGCGCCGCTCCTCGCCATCTTCGTCCTCCGCACCGCCGGCCTGGCCGCGCCAGCAGCCCCCGGCAGCGGGGAGAGGGGCGGGCGTGGATAAGGAGCGGGGAGAAGGCGCCTGGGGACGGCGGCGGGCACACACCGCTCCTGCTCCTCCTCCTCTCCGCGGCGGGCGGCAGCCGCGGGCGCTCCCCCCGTGCCGGGCTTTATACGGCGGTGGGAGGGCCGGGGCACCGGCGGCGCTACAGGAGCCGCTGTCGGTCACGGTGCTGCCGCCGGGGAGGGGCGAGCGGCCAAGCCCCGCCTCGGCCCCGCCGCCGCGGGCGCTGCACAGGCGCGGCCCCGGGAATGGGGATGGGAGCGGGGTTCGGCTGTGCCCGCCCGGTGCTGCTTGCTGTGCCAGCAGCTACACTCGCCTGCCCCGCCAGACACTTGCTCAGTGCTTTCATTGGCCATTATGTGTCGATAAATGCATTCCCAAACGTGTGGTTTTGTTGGGACAGTGTGAATACCTGGAGCCGCCGAGCCGTGAGCCCATGGAAACGACGCGACCCTTCCGCCGGTGCGCCCTGATGGCATCGGGAGCGCGCTGCCCATCGCTCTGCTTGAGAAGGACGCGTCCGTCAAAACCTCCATCACTGACTTGTTCGTTTGTCTAATCAAAGCACACAAGACTGCTACATTTTTACCATTAAATAATAGCCAACAAAAATCACTACAGGCAAGCTCGGTGATGATAAAGTGTACTGGTCCACCTTCACTCTTTTTCTTACTGTGATACAAAGCATATTCAAATAAATAACAAAAATGTTTAAAAGTGAACATAAAAAAGCATGTTCAATACCATAAATGATAAAAAGTGACATACAAAGCATATTCAATGCCATAAATGTTTAAAAGCTGCATAAATGCCATAAAATTTTAAAAGCAGATGTCAACCTATTGGAATCAGTGTAGATTTACACCTTGGAAATACTATTTGAAGACCAAAGGCATAATCCAAAACAAAAATTAGTGGTGAAAGTAAGATTCATGTATTTGAGTTCCACGTATATAACCATCAAATAGACACCTCATTTTTTATCCCAAATGTCTCTATGGGCTTAACAGATGTTCTTTTTTGGACCTATAGAGAACAGAAAAAAAGGGGGAAATAAAGGGAAAACTTTACCTGGGCTCCTACAGCTCTAAGTGCACGTTGTTATTTGGAACCCAAGGCAGAAACCAGAACCTGCATTATTCTCCCAGATGTCTTTATGGTGAATTGGAAGAGCTCATTCTTTCTGGATCAGACTGCACAGACAGCAGAGATGAAGAGCAAACCAAATAAAAGGACTGGGTCTTTGGTCTGAAGGAGCTTCTGCAATGTTTCTGCTCATGAAAGCAGCAGCTGGGAACTAAAAATGTAATTATGCAATTGATGGAGAAACAAAAACCATCCTCCAGTTGTTGGGAAATTACTCATTATGCACTTTTTCCTCCCACCTCTTCCAGGCGCACCAGAGAACAAATATGTTGTGAATGCAGACAGCATGACCACATTACTGCACACATCCATGAACAGCCTCTGCTCACTCCTCCAAGAAGCAGCACCACTGCTGCTGATCATCTCACCACATTAGCTGAAAATGAGCAATGCCATGACTGGGATGATCCTGCAAGTACATCTATCTTCAGATTTACCTCAGTTCAAGAAATTTGGCTAATGGAAAAAGAAGATGGAAAAAATAGCTAATCTATCACAGCTGTAGTTTTAAGGTAGAAAACAGTTTAAACAAGCATTTCAAAAGAGGTCCTCCACAGATCAAATCTCACCTCAGATCCAGTACAACTTAATGGTAACACTTGTACTGAGAGATAGAAAGTGTAATTACAAAGCTGAAAAAAAACCCCATTGAGAATAAATCACTAAAGACACGTAGAACACACTTAGTACCATCAACCCTGAAAGAAATCACAGATTTCTTCAATAAAGTCTGAGAGGAAAAAACAGGACCATTGGGTATAATTTCAGAAATACCATGGAGATGATGTCATGGCTCCCAGGGATGGAATGGAAATCAAACAAAGCCTCAGCCCCTAGAATTGAGAGTAAAATCAGTTGCTGATGGTCACGTACATATCCAGTGCTTTGAGAAATCACAGCCAGAAGCAGCTGCTTTCACCAGAGAAAATACACAGGTCATGAAACAGCACTATTAGGTGGAAACCAATGGTCATAAAGAGGAGAGAGTGTCCAAGAGGAATCCTAAGAAGCATTTTGTTATCAAAATGTACAAGTAAACAGTAGCAGGGAAGAATGAAAAGAATTGGTGAAAGAACCCTGTAAATATGCAACAGTGAAAGAAAAGGAAATAGCTGGCAAAGACAGATTTCTAAAGTAGGAGGGAAATGGGTTGAGGGGACTGTGATATAAACACAGCTCATACCTGTAAGTGCAAGCCTAGGCTTGGACTAGAAATTTGTGCATTTTCTTGTTATTTTCCATGGTCTCTTGAAGGCTAGTTTCAATTTTAGACTCTTCTTAGAAAATGCAAGCTTTGTCCCCAGAGAGAAAACAGAGCTGAGAGCTACCCAAAATACTGCTTTCAAAGTGACAGATGTGGTCAAGACTTCTCCTACCCCCAGAGGCTTCGCTCGGACATTGGCTGATGGAAAGGAAAATGCTTGTGAAACTCCAGAACTGAGCTGCACCAGCTGTGCAGTGCCCAGGGGCTCTCTCTTGCCCTGCTCTCACAGACACTTGGGTTGGAAACGCTGCTTTTGTGCACAAATACCAACTTCAAGGCCTGAACTGGCAGCTGGTGGCTAGCAGGGTCTTCAGCTCTCCCGATGCTTTTGCAGGCTGCTTCAGGACTGTATTGCTGGTGTCGCATCTGCAGCACTTAAAGCATTTAAATATTAGGGCTCCTAAGCTGAAACTTACCCTCAAACCACAACAGTTTTAAAGAATAACATAGGCACTATTGTGTGAAATGTCCAAGTATGCTTGTTAAGCTACAGAGGTTAACTCCTGAAGCAATTCCTATGGATGTTCCAAGAAACAGGCTCACATTCTTGCTATTCTCACTCTTTGTTCCTTTGATTTTTCACTTTATTGAGCCTTTTCCCCTTTCCTCTGCAACAAGGCAATTTCTTCATAACAAATGAATGCATTTTTGTTAAGTGGGCATGGAGGACAGCAGAGAGTTTTAGTTGTGAGACCTTGACTGAGGGAGCCCAAGGATTATTTTTGTCCTAAATCTACAGCAGTAGTGAGGAAAACAAGAATGAGAGCAACTACAAGCAGTCCTCACTTCCAAAATTAACTGTGTAAAATGATTTTCTAACCTCATAATCAGTTACCAAATTTATTTATTTTTCAGACCCTGTGCATTTTCAACAGCTCAGCAATAATATCTGAAATTAAGATGACAAGAATTTGGGAAAAATTCTACAAGACCTCTGCAGAAGACAACAACTTCCTGAATTGTTTCTAATCCTAACTCCTTTGGTAGCTCTTCCTAGATATTTAGTTGTGCTTTTACAGTCCCAGTAACTCCCTGTCGGTATCCGCGCATCCATACCTCCTTTTCCCTGTCTCCTAATTGTCTGTAGGAAATTATTGTGAGGTTAGAAACCCATCTTACCCAAACCACCACCAATTTTATATTTCAGAATGCACGAAGCCAATGCCACGTGGAATGGAAACAAGGACAGTTCACTGCAGTACCAGCCCACCACTGCAGCCAAAGGGAGGCAGGTCCTGTTGCAGAAAGCCTTCTCAACCACAGAAACTTCTTATGAGACCTGTTTCACATCCTCTAATTACTCTTCATCTCACTCTCCTTGAAACAAACACCAGTGTGCGCAGCTGCAGTGCTTTTCCTCTCCTTGAATTTACCTCACCTTGCATCTAGACCTCAAAACCATTCTTTTATTCTGGAGCCCCACTAGATTACCTTTTCCACAAATGCTAAAATGGAGAAGCATTGGTCACTTCCTTCCCTAACCTTGTAACACTAAAATTATTCATTATACATTAATTAAAACAAAAAAAAAAATAACATTGATGAGTGGAAAGCCACAGACAGAAGAGATTTTCAACAATTCCCCAGCAGCAGCATTCCAAGAATACAATAAAATCATCGTGCAAGGATCCTAAGTCCCTAACCTCAATGAAGACCATAGTTTTCTAACAGATAATAAAGTTTTGTCTGGGCAAAATCAGATATTCCCCATGTATTTTCAACAGCAGCAGTCATTAGTTATTTGCTATAAAGAACAAATTGATTCATCTCCTATTCCAGATTTTCCTCTCAAATATCTTTCTTATTTTGTCCTCTCTGTGTGTTACAGCAGTAATTCCATAGCAGTGATTTCACTGCCTGGGTCAAGTGGATATAAACTATGAAATTAAATAAAAGGGTTTGACTTCTTGCTTATATCATGGATCTAATTTATTAATTAAAGTAGTTACATGAGTTCGTTTTTGAAATTAGATTTGTAAAAGACCTTTGAGATAGTAAATCATACCAATTTTTCCAGTTAAATTATTTACCTAGTATAATTTCTAAAAAGAAAATACTAGTTTTGAATTATAAATTCAACACATATCAGTATTTTACATGAGTCAGGAGTAGCTGAAAATAGATGTTTGCTATTATAGAGTAATACTAATAGGAATTGACATTCCAAATTAATTTTAAAAAATAAAAACCCCTTGTCAGTCATAGGAAAAAAATTTCTTCAGATATATTTAGTTTAGATGCCTAAAGTTATTTAAATTTGACCACAAGCCAATGAAACACTAGCATTAAATTATAATTAATTTTTTTCTTTTTTAAAAAAATATCAATAGGGACATGAAAGTCCATCTGGAAATAACATGGCATTAAACTGTGCATCACACTAACTTAGTATGCAAGCCTGTAATAAGCCTCTTAAGTACTTCAACCCTAATAAGAACTCTTCCACAGATAAATTACTTCCAAAGAATCAGGCTGAATGGCACTGAAATTCTAGTCTCGCTGTCTGGAAATAGTTTCTCTTTGGTTGCCTCCCTTTAATTTAACCTCAATTTCAACCAGCCTGTTT